CAAATCTTTAGCTCTTCTGGAATATAAATAGTTTGATGTTTAATACAAATTAAATGTAATGGTTAAAAGTATAACTTTAAAATTTAGTCTGGCCAGTTGGCCCAGTTGGTTAGAGTGTAGTGTTGATAACATCAAGGTCAAGGGTTCAAATCCCCTTACCAGCCAGCTGCCAAAAAAATAAAATAAAATTTAAATGATAACAATGACCATTCTTAAGGGCTTAAGACAAAATCCTTAACTTTTCATATCGTAGTGTCTTATAAATCACAGGTGTTTAATCTCTGCTAGGTGTTTTTGAATGCCTATTTTTACTACATTAAAATATAAACGTAGGGCCGAGCCCGTGGCGCACTCGGGAGGGTGCGGCACTGGGAGCACAGCAGCGCTCCCGCCGTGGGTTCGGATCCTATATAGGGATGACCGGTGCGCTCACAGCGCTCACTAGCTGAGCGCGGTGCAGCCGGTCTCAAAAAGGACAAAAAAAATATAAACATAATGTCTAACATTTATTGATAGTATATGTGCCAGACACTGTTTGAAGCACTTTACATTTAATGCTCACATTATCCTATAAAATGGGTCAATTATTTTTCTTATTTTACTGATGAGGGAACTGAGGTTCAGGAAGCTCAGGTGATATGCCTAAAGCCACAGACGAACAGTTAATACATGATAAAGCCAGCTTCAAATTCAGCCTTCAAATCCAGGTGATTTGACTTCAGAGTATGTACTCTTAACTGCTAGAGACTGTCTCCAAAATAATTATGGTTATCCAAATATAAGAACCACTATAAATAATTTTTAAAAAGATAGTTTCAAGAAGTTAACAAATTTCAGACTGATAAAGGAAAGAATGAAATATACATCTCTTGCCTGAAGTGCTCTGTCACTTTCAGTATTTCCCTTTGTTCCCTTTCAGTTTTGAACTAAGCATCTATTATGCCCATGGCAGCAGGAAGGAAATACATAACAATACTTGCCATCAAAGTGTAAGAGCAGATAAGTTAATAAACACACGCCTCACTTACTGGTTTTATGACAGGCACAACAAATACCAACCAGCGCAAAGGAGGGGATGGTTACTGCCGGGGACAGATACACTTTGAATGGATGAAACGTGCTTTGCAAGAAGAGGCGCTGCAAAGACCTTGTACATTATGCTGAGTTAATGAGTTTAGACATTTACTCTAAATGCCAATGGTTCGTAAACATTTTTAGATCACAGCCTTATTAAGAATTTGATGAAATCTTACATATAATTTCAAGGAGTTCAAGGATCTCTGTGAAGTTGGGTCCACACATGAACCCCTAAGAAGGCAAGAGGAATTCAGGTTTTAATCAGGAAGTAACGGTCAGTTTAGTAATTTTTCAAGACCATTTGGACAGCAGTGTGGAGAAAAGTTTGGTAGTGGGGGGGGAAGGGCAAAAAGGAAACTACAATGTATATATATCCAGCTAATAATCCAAGTATAAGAGGTTGAGAGGGAGGGTACTGATATAAGGTTCCAACAGTAGAATATAAGAAATGCTAAGGAAATAGAAATGCAAGCATTTGGTTACTGATGGATGGTGGCACTATTCATCAAGATTCAGAATTTGAGGAGAGTTCTGCCTCAGACATAATGACTGAGATATTTATAAGGTCTCCAGGTGGAGACAGGAAAATGAGGGTTGAATTTAGTAGATCTAAGAATCTAAGAAGAAATCTAAGCTGGAAAAGTCTGGTGAGTCACCAACACTACATGGTACCTGGAGTCATGAAAATTGATAAATTACACCTGAGAGAGAGCAGACAAAAGGGCCAAAGAACCTTGGATTACTCCAATATTTATAAGTGAGGCAAAATAGTGTGCAAGGGATGTAACGAATGGTTGGAGGACAGAGAGACCACCACCACCATTTGCAAAAAAGAAGGGTAAAGCAAGAAGAGGACTTATATAAGGTACACTAACTGATCAAAATTTCCACTTTTGTAATGAGTTGCATGGTACAAAAGTTGTGAAACTCACTTTCTGATTAGCTTATTTTGATTTCCCGAGACCATCAAGCCTGCTATCAATGACTTCAAGACATCTTCCTTTCCCTATTCCCCCAAAGACTATTACAAAACTTTTCCAACCTCCTTGTTAAGAGATATCCTGACTCCCATATATCATAGAGAAATTAGATAAACCGAAAATAAATCCTCAAAATTGATCTTTATCTTTACTCTGCTTTTTCATTCCTCCTGGCTCAGAATGAGGTACTGCTAGTTGTCTTCAAAGTTAACCCCTCCATTTCTACTAGTGTTAGCACCATCCCCTAACTCCTCCAAGACTTTGATCACAACTCTCTATCCCTAAAATTCAAAATCAATTAAAATGCTAAATCTGGGCCGGCCCGTGACTCACTCAGAAGAGTGTGGTGCTGATAACACCAAGGCCACGGGTTCGGATCCCATATAGGGATGTCCAGTTAGCTCACTGGGTGAGCGTGGTGCTGACAACACCAAGTCAAGGGTTAAGATCCCCTTACTGGTCCTCTTTATATAAAAAACAAAACAAACAAACAAAAAAACCCCGCTAAATCTAATGGCCTCTTTCAGCCTCAATCTATTTGGACCACCGCACTAAATGATATTAACTACCTACTCTTTCCCTAAAACTTTATACTCTTCATTTCTGTGATAGCACTCTCTCCCAATTCTCCTTTCTCTTTCAACTCTTTCCATCTTCTCTAGCTTCCCTTAAATATCAGTACTGCTTACAAGGCTCTGTGGGTGGTCCTATTTTCACACAATATTCTATGCCTAGCCTATCTACTGAATATTTCAAATTAATATATTTACTTGTACAACTCCCAAAATCTAAGACCCATATTTCTAATTCTTTATTCAAAAAGTCCACCTCAATATTCTCCAAGCACCTGAAATTAAACATGCCTGAAAACAAAATTATCTGCTCCTCTAAAGCTGCATCCTTTTCCTTTGGTCTATATTTTGGATAAAACTTGGAATTATTCTTAGTGCTTCCCATCCCTTAACCATTTTTCTTTTCCATGACAAAAACGTCTTTGGTATGTGTACTCTTCATTCCCAAAGCCTGTGACCCTAATTCCAGACTCTTGGATATACTCTCTTGTACAAAATACTAACCTTCCAGGTGACTACAGTCCTCTGTTTTTCTCTCAGTTCAGGCATGTCTAATTAGTCCTCTCTAAATCTTTAATAGTTTCCTACTGCCCACATCATCCAATCTAAATTCCTAAATATCGGCTTTCAAGACCATTGACAGAGCCTTTAACTTCCCTAGAGGTAAGAATTAGCCAGTGTGCTCTCTCCTGAAAATCTGGATCCAGAGGTCTGGGTTAGGAATTTTAAGAAGTGCCACAGGGGTTTATTCTCAGAGAAACTTGGTAAACACTGATCTAGGACAAGTGACTTAGTCTCTCTAATTCTGCTACGTCACCAGTAAATGAGGCTACTACTATTATACACATTAATTAAATTCAATAATCCAAGTAAAACACTCATTAAGCACCTGGTAATACAATAAGTACTAAATAAACATTCACTCCATTGTACTTTGAAGTCTCTTTTTCCCATCCTACTTTCCCACATAGGATTATTCCCTGACTTCCCTAAAATGCCTTGATGTTTAGGCAGGTAAAACCCTCCTCATCCTCTTGATTAAAACATATTTCTTAATTTTCACTGATTGTTAAAGTTCTACTCATTCTTTAAGGTCACGCTAAAAGTTCTTCTGTTCGCTCTGAACCCTTCAGATGGAATTAATCTCTTCTCACTTCCAATAGTATCTCACTGTTATCGCAATATGGTTTTTACCCCACTGTTTAATTGTTAATTATACAAGGATACTTTAAAAAGTTCATGAAAAGTTCCGTATCATCTCTTAATTCTATTTTTCCATGAACTTTCTGAAGTACCCTCATATATATGTCTCACTTACTAGACCACAGTAAGTTTCTTGGTGATCAGCACCTAGACTATCGGACCTACAAGATTTAAAAAAATGTATAGTGAGAGGTAAATAAACAGGACTAAATGAAAGACATATTTGCCCCAAATTTTAAAGAAAAATGCTTACTGGTATAATTTTTCTTTTATCAAATTCTCAACACAGACTAAAAATGATACCGTCATACTTTTAATAGCAGTATACAATCAGAGCATCATATCGGAAAAGTAGATAGCAAAAGTTATATGTCAAATTGGGGGATGTGAAATAGTATCAACAAGGGTCATTCTTTGGTCCAGTACTTTAAACACTGGAATCCCAAAGCCTTTAAAAGTCAATAAAACGTTCAGTGTATTTTGCATGATTGATATCAAGTTGGATAGTGTTCATATTAATTTGGAAGACAGAAATATGATGTTCATCGTGGAAAAATGTTTCACCAATAATAGAATTCAAGATGGGCACGTTCAAGGTAGGGTAGAACTTTAAAGCATATTAAACACAGACTAAATGACAGGAAAACACAAGTAGTAAAACTGAGGACCAGAGTGAATCAATACGAACAAAAAAGCGATAATACACTAAATTTTTAAAAAATCAATTATGGTATGAAGATATTCCTTTAACTTAGTGAAACAAGTTTTTGGTAACTAGTGTTTTTATAAGCCAGAGTCTCTCTTATTCATAAAAGCTGATACTGTCTTCCTAGCTTGGTTATTGAAGTAAATTTCTATGTAAAGAGAAGGTAGAACCTAGAGGATCTGGAGATTTCTCCTGTTGTTTTTTTAGCTTTATATAAGCAAATTCCTCTGTCTTCAATTTCTCTTCATACAAAGATTTTTTTCCAATGAGAAGACTTTTGGAAATCTATATTAATGATAATTTAATGTGAGTAAAGTTATCTCAACAAAGCATCTATAAGTCAATACAAAATGTTCACTTTATATAGTTAAAATTAAATATGACACATACTTGATTTATCGTATTTTATACCAATTCACTTAATTTACTGAAACATTAGAAAAACCATGATGCTATACTTACATTTCTACTACAGATCCCACAGATGCCTGCCACAAAAATAAAACATCTTCTTTACCAGCTGTCAGCCAGCTTGCAGTTTTTTCTCTTCCACTGCTGGTTCATTCTTTGTGCTGCAAAAGAAAAAACTTTCAACATCAACTGCTCTATAGACTAATTAAGATCAACAGAATTAATCAATTATGTATGATCCTTTAACAAAATTCAGTAGCAAATTTTATCTTAAAAGTGAAAAAAAATCCAAGACAAAAATGACTGCTTTGACCACTACTGTTCAACACTACTAGAAGATTTAACAGAGCAATTAGACAGGAAAAAGAAATAAGAGGCATACAAATTGGTAAGGAATAAGTAAAATTATCTCTATTAGTATACAGTAAAAACTATCTCTATTCTCTCTATATAGAAAATCCCAAGGAATCCCCAAGAAAGCTAGTAAACAAATTCAGCAAAGTAGCAGGTTACAAGTTCCGTACATGAAAAAAATCAGTGTTTCTATACATTAGTAGTCAACATCCAAAAAGGAAATCAAGACAGCAATTCCAATTATAATAGCATCTAAAGGATCTAAAGCATCTAAAGGAATAAAATACGTAGAAATCAAGTTAACCAAGGAGGTGAAATACTTGTATATTAAAAACTATAAAACATCACTTAAAAAAGATTAAACATTACATAAAAAACATTACTTAAAAAAGCTAAATAAAGACAACCAGTGTTCATGGATTGGAAGATTTAATATTCAAGATGACAGTACTACCCAAAGTGATCTACAGATTCATCATAATTCCTATCAAAATTCCAACAGCTTTTTTCTCAGAAATAGAAAAGTCAATCCTCGAATTCATATGGAATTACAAAGGATACCAAATAGCCAAAACAGTCCTGAAAAAGAAGAAAAAAGTTGAAGAACTAACACTTCCCAGTGTCAAAACTCACTACAAAGCTACAGAAATTAAGAGACTGTGATAGTCATACAAGGATACACAATATACCAATGGAATAGAATTGAGAGTCCAAAAATAAACCCATACATCTATAGGCAACTGATTTTCAAGAGTGTCAAGTCCATTCAATGGGGAAATAGTCTCTTCAACAAATGCTCTTTGAACAATTGGATTTCCACATGCAAAAGAATGAAGTTAGACCCCTACCTTACTCCATATAAAAAAAATTATCTCAAAATGGATCAATGACCTAAATACAAAAAGTAAAACCATAAAACTCTTAGAAGAAAATGTAGGGACTAATCTTCATGACCTTGGATTTGGCAATGGATTCCTAGATATAACACCAAAAGCATGAGTAACAAAGACATGACATAGAAAAGAAATAAATTGGGCTTTATTAAAATTAAAAACTTTTGTGCACCAAAGGACATTATCAAGAATGTAAAAACAAAATCTACAGAATGGGAGAAAATCTTCACAAATCTGAGAAAGGTTCAATATCCAGAATACATAAAGAACTCCTACAACTCAACAACCAAAATATAATCCAATTTAAAAATGAGCAAAGCACTTGAATAAACATTTCTCCAATAGGCAAACAAAAAGATGCTTAACATTATTAGTCATTAGGGAAATATAAATCAAAACCACAGTGATATGTCTATTAGCATGACTATAATTTTTTAAAAAAGGCAACTAAACATTGGTGAGGATGTGGAGATACATCCCCCAACACTTCTTGTGGGAATGTAAAATGGTGCAGCTGCTGTAAATGACAATTAGATGGTTCCTCAAAAACGAACTCATGGCTCAACCTTGAAAACACTATACTAAGTGACATAAGAGAGACACAAAGAGACAAGTATTGTATGATACCACTTACATGAAATATCAAGAATAGGCAAATTCAAAACACAGAAAGTAGATTACAGGTTACCAGGGACTCAGGGAGAGGAGAATGGAGATTAACTGCCTAATGGGTTCAGAGTTTCTGTTTGTAATGATGGAAAAGTGGAAATATATAGTGGTGATGATTGTATAACATTATAAGTGAATTAACCACACTAAATTGTATACTTAAAAATGGTTAAATAGTAAATTTTTGTTTACTTATATTTTACCAGGCACCATCCAGAACATCATCTCAGTTATTGATCTTCTTTCTTCTCATTTAGTATTTCCGCCTTCCACTCCTTCCACTTCATCATGCCCATGCGGGAGGCACATCACATTACACAGAACTTACATAGAATCAAAATACATGATAACTAAAGAGATGACAGATTTCATAGTAAACACAAAATACGAAAGACTTGAATCTTCATTCTTTCAGTTCCATGTGCCTCTCACAGTGTGGACATCTATGTCCTTAAGGCATCTAAGATTTAGTGTATAAACATGAATATTTTTAAGACCATATGAGGCCTCTAAATACAAGCTAGCTTATCCCACCAAATGTTTAACAGAACAAACAACAATCCATTTCAAAACTGGAGAACTTTCCAAAGTAACTGACTAAACAAGATTTCTAAGTAACCTGGTTTGTTGTTTTACTCTGACTTTAGATGATATGCACTCCACTATTCTGACTTTCCTCCCAGCCCTTTTAACTTTACCCTCTAGGTGCCTACAACTTCAATGGCACGACAAAAGACTCCATCCACTTCCTTCCTGCAGCCTGTTCAAAACAGAAGCTGCCCATTTTCACACACACCCATACACTTCCTATCTACAGGACAGGAGGAGACACTCTACAGTTCCAATTTTATTACTTACTCTTTGAAGTTTCTACCACTGGCTATAATATATTCCATAACCCTCTACAGCTGCCCTCTCTCAACCTTTAAGGCACTGACTTCATCTTTTCACTACTGATCATCTTCTTCACCCTAATATCACTATAAGCCTATTTAAATATCCTTGATAATGAATCAACCAACATCTATCTCAGAGGTTCTTAAACTTGCCCCAACTTCTATTCTTCATAATCACTTAATTTACTTGTTGGAAATACACATACTCAGGCTCTACCCTGAGACATGGGTTTAAGCCCGGGAATCTCACTCCAGGCGATACTGTGTAAGTAGTGCATCAAATACAATCTGAGAAACAATGTCCTCAATTTTCAATTTCTAAAATCCTAAATTCAATGAACTTTACCTCCTCTCCAGCAGCAAAAATATCATGACCACATTTGGAACTAGTTGTCCTCTAAAACTGCTGCCTTTCTGAAATTTTAACCCCACTTTCAGATCACTAGCTCTTGTCCTTCCAGCTCACTTACTCATTTCCACACCTGTTCTTTAATTTTATGGGGACCTGCAGTCTCTTGACCATCTTCTTTCCTTTATTCAGTTCCTTATTTCATTTCCTTTTCTGCCTGATCTGGAACCCAATCATTTTAACTTCTTTCTTACCAGAACCCTTGGCTCCCTCATATCTTTGTCTCTCATATACACACATTCCACAAACCCCCATCTCTGCATGAATCTTACAATGTGGCATCTGAGCTTCCATGCCTTAACCACTTAGTTTTGATGCAGAAAAAGAGAAAATCCTTTCTTTCACCTCCCTCCCCACTTCCAACCAGCCACAGCAAATCTGTCAACTTTTGTCCCTAACACCTTTGGAGTCTATCCTGTACTCTCTATCCATTGCTAGTGCCCTAGTTTAGACCTGTATCATCTCTCACCTGGACTACTGTTCAGCCTAACTGATTATCTTCCTTCAATATCACCCTCAAATTCATCCACTAAGCCTCTGAGTGGTATCTAAAAGGAAAAAATGGACCACGTTCCCTCAATACTTGAAGCCCAATATTGGCGCCCCAGCCTATACAATAAAGGCAAAGCTCTTGGGCCAGCCCGGTGGCGTACTCGGTTGAGTGCGGCACTTGGGAGTGTGGCGGTGCTCCCGCCGAGGGTTCGGATCCCATATAGAGACCGCTCCGCTCACTGGCTGAGCGCGGTGCGGGCGCGACACCAAGGGTTGCGATCCCGTTGCTGGTCCCGGTGCGGGCGCGACACCGAGGGTTGCGATCCCATTACCGGTCACGAAAAAAGACAAAAAGGAAAATAAATAAATAAATAAAAATAAATAAAGGCAAAGCTCCTTAGGACAACATTCAAAGGCCTTAATGTCTAAACCCTAAATATTCATAACTCTCTAGTCTTGTTTATCCACAGCAACCACCCTCCCAGATTAATACTTTAGTTATACCAAATTACTCACAATCCTCCAAACCTCCCTTTGTAGCTCTGTATTTTCTCTTGCATGGTATAGTCTACTCTATTTCATAGCTTATGAATATCTATTTGTTCTTCAATATGTTGCGATCTACCTGTTCTTCAATAGGTATGGTCATCCCTACCACTTTCTCTGACTACCTCCAGAAAGTTAATTGTTTCCTCCTCTATGTTTTGTATATTTTCCTATTACTAAACTTACCACTGGAACTGACATTCATTTGTGATGTATGACTTCTATTAAACCATGAGCCCCTAAACACAGAAAACATTTTTATATCTCTAAGTGGCTAGTTAACTGCCAATCATTTTTGTTGTTCTGAACTCGTATTTGTTGGACAAATGAAAATTAAATTCCTTAAAAAAAAAACTGAAGGCCGGCCCGGTGGCGCACTGGAGAGGGTGCTGCTTGGGAATGCGGCGGCACTCCCGCCGAGGGTTCGGATCCCATCTGGAGACCGGTTCCCGCTCACTGGCTGAGCGCGGTGCGGGCGCGACACCGAGGGCTGCGATCCCGTTACCGGTCAGTAAAAAAGACAAAAAGGAAAAAAAAAATTGAGAGAAATAGAAAAAAAAAAAGAACAAAATGTATTTACTCACATAATAATATTTGAGTTCTAATTGGGAACAAGGCACCTAGCTGGAAGCTACAAAAGATACAAAGATATCTAAATTCTAATCTTTTCTTTAAAGAACTTAAATTCTAACAGAGGAAGTTCATACATTTACAAATATAAGATTCAAGCTATCTTTATATCTTTTGGCAAGCACATAATTTATCCAGCTATTGTTCATTGGCAATGAATTCTCCAGAATGTAGATAAAAACCCAAGAATAAACCAAAATGGGTTCCTAGACAGCCAAAACAGTTTCACAAAGCTCTTTCTCCAATAAAGTTAAGATCCTTCACTAGAATGACCATATAGAATGGCCCAACATCTGTCCAGGTTAGTCAGCATCTGTCCAGGTTAGTCCTTGGTTTCCCAACAAAAGTGTCCCAGTTTGGAAAATAAATTATACAGACACCCTACATTTTATTCATCACCAAGGTTTTTGGAGCATCACTCAAAAGTCAATTTACTCTTATTTTACCCACAATTCTAAGACAAAGCTTTTTGATTCACAAATTCCTGCTAGGTGTTGCTCTTGGTCATTAGCTCTGTCTATCCTTTCCTATCTTACAAGTCTTTTAAGACATACTAATCCATCATTTTAGTATCTTATTCCCAGAACATATTTGATTGCTGCAGTGAATGACTTGTAGATTACACAACAAACTCAATACAATGATCTATTAAGAGGAAGAAAAAAACAAGCAACCCAATAAAAAAATGGGCAAAAGAGCTAAGTAGGCAATTCTCTAAGGAAGATATACAAATGGCCAACAGTCATATGAAAAAATGCTCAACATCACTCAGCATCCGGGAAATGCAAATCAAAACTACACTGAGATACCATCTCACCCCAATGAGGATGGCTAAAATCCAAAAGACTTTGAACGATAAAGGCTGGCGAGGTTGCCCATTTTTTTATTGGGTTGCTTGTTTTTTTCTTCCTCTTAATAGATCATTGTATTGAGTTTGTTGTGTAATCTACAAGTCATT